ATGAAAGAAAATCAGACTGTGTTTCTCCATCTGATCAATTTAACATCAGAGGACAGTGGGAGCTACACCTGTCAGTGTTCAACTCCTGAAAGAACAAAAATTCTCCATCTTAATGTCACTGTGGAAGGTAAACAAGGTAAAAACAACAACGTTCTTCTTATTTTAACCATAAATTATTTAGCAATATAAAGTCTGTACTGATTTTAGAAGGCGAACTTCAGGATTTGTTAACTTTGAGGTCAATAGTCATACATCACACTTAACCTTTGTTCAGTTGTAAAGCAAATACTACATCCAAGTTTCTAACAACTGCTTTTCTCCTCATACAGAATTAAGCAGCAGGTCTGGAACAAAAACACTTCCTCTTACACTGATTTGTGTAACCGTGTTCATCATTGTGAGTTTAGTTATCTTTGGATTTATTCACGCACGACTGCGCCACAGGTGAGAAACTACTGTCAGAGCTGTGTTTCACGTTTCATGATTTACCTTTTAACACGCTTCATAACTTTAAAATGTGATTCTCTTTTCATTTTGGTTAATCCACTTTAGCTGAAGGTCATTTTGATGTAACGTCTTCTTCAGCAAGAGCCTGCACTACTGTTCTCATGTTTAAGTGAATTAAAGTCAATTAGCTGCCTGATAATAATTTATCAGACATATTGATCATAAAAAAGTGATGCTAACATCATTTGTTATCCAAAGTGGCTGTTCAAGGTCAGAAACATCTGGACTATCAGTGAATGAGACTCACGGCTCTTTGGTGAGTAATTTCCTTGTAAAGACAAAGCAGCAGGTTTAAAGTTTGTTTTATTTCCAGTTTTATTTCAAAATGTTGGCTCAGGCTGTTTTTGTGAAGTTACTTTGATTCAACATACCTTGGGTCACCTTGAGTTTTTTTTTTATCAGACTTTTAATTTTATTTTACAGGATGAAAATGTCCAAATAAAATAAAAAGTGATTTTATTCATCAGTAACATGTTTGCAGCATAATTAAGTCAGACTTAATATAATTACGCTGTATGAGTCTTAATTTTATCTTCTGACAGGATGAAGATGTCCAAGATGATTCTTACACAAACCTTCAGCATCCAACAAATGATCTCTACCAAACTATCACCTCAGATCACCCTCAGCACGACAGCACTACAAATTAAGAATATTAAGTGTCTGCTGTTGTGATTATTCAGCCAGAAGAACAGAAGCTGTCAGCCTCGATAGTCAAACGCTTTTGTTTTTGACAATATTGAAACATTTTGAAACATGCAAAACTGCACATGACACATGAGTAATATTGCTCTGATATAAATATTTTTGGATTATCATTATGACAAGACATCTTTCATACTGGACACATGTTTTATCACAGCTAACTAACTAAACAGGTTCACAGATGTGTCCTTTTGCAAATACAAACTAACTGTGTCAATATGAATCCTTGTGTATTTGAAGGTTTATGAAAATTAACATTTCACCATCGTCAGCTCTTAATTCCAGGCATGAGTTTGTTTCTAAACTAAAACAAAACAGTTAAAAACTCTTCCTGGTTTTTCTTCTGTTGTCATGTGTTTACTCACTATTTTAACCTTTAAGGCATCCAAACATAGGAGAATTTGAGGTGTAAGTTACTGAGGGGTGCGAGTCTTTTTTTCTATATGTAGTTGTACATTATCCTCACAGCCACAGTTACTTCCTGATCAGTATGGTCATACAGAAACTCTGCTGTGCTGCTTCTGAATCTAATTCTGTTTAAGTTGTGAAGATATTATCTATATATTAAATTTTGAGTGTATAAATGTCAACAAACATGGCAGTTATGTGTGTGACACGCCCACTGAGATGAAAATGAGTATGTTTAGTTTTTGTGTGGGATTCTGTTCAGTGTTTTACTTTTAGAGGGCCTTTAACTTAAAGCAGAAGTGATCATCCATATACTTCCTTTGCAGAAGCTTTCTACCAGCACGAAACGCTGTGAGAGAGATAAGAGTTTTATGTAACTCCTTGAGTTTGCTTAGTGCTTCACTTTGAGATAGTTTTAATATGACAGCAGAAGCGGTCACGTGCATGCACTTCCTTTATAGAAGCATTCTGACAAAGACGTACTTTATTAACAACTCTCAGTACAACATCGTCTGTACTGTCAGCAGCAGTGACTGTGACTGTGACACCTGGACAAATATGGATGCACTAAAGCTGTACTTCATTCTGCTTCTACCACCAACTGCATGCTCACAAGATTTAGGAGGAGGTAATGTTTTCATAATGTAATATTTAGTTTTTAATGCTACTCAAGCCTCTGGTTTAAATCATTCAGGCTGTTTGTATTATTGTTACTGATTTCAGAAACTGTTGTGAAAACAATTGGGGAACAACCAGATTTCACTCAAATATGAAAGACAGAACATCACCACGCTGATCGTTTGTAAGATCAGAATAAGAGAGTGGAAGGGGGAAATTGTTTTCTGCTGTAGGAATATGGACGGGGCTTTGTTCATTAATGTGACTCCAGGTTTACGCTGATGAAAGAAAATCAGACTGTGTTTCTCCACCTGATCAATTTAACATCAGAGGACAGTGGGAGCTACACCTGTCAGTGTTCAGCTCCCGATGGAACAAAATGTCACTGTGGAATGTCACTTCTTCCCACTCTATTAAAATGACATTGAACTGTTTACATGGTTGATTTATTGTCTTGCTTTTTCCTCGTTCATCAGTTTAAATAATAAACAACATGATGTCCAGGCTTATACAAGTGATTACACCTGATTTCACTTTGTTTTTCATATAAATGACTGTTTTAACTGTTTAATGTCAGTAGAAACTGTAAACTGTGCTTTGAATACCTCAGATATGATAACGTAGTGTGTGATGTGTGCAGAACATGTTAGAAATATGATAAAATTATTATCACAATGTTTCTTTACATATGATTCAAATTCAAGTTTATTATTCTGTTTTTTTTTAAGTGTTAGATGCCAGAAGTTCAACAGAAATGTCTGTTTTGTGGCTCATTGAAGTCAGAGAGTTGATTTGATTCAGTAAACATGACACCTTAGAGCACTTACTCACAGCTGATGCTAGGACACGTTTTCAGCATAATTAAGTTACACTTAATATAATTATGCTCTATGATTTTTTACGTTCATCTTCTTACTGGATGAAGACATGCAAGATGACCCTTACATGAGCCTTCAGCATCCAACAAACGATCTCTACCAAACTATCACCTCAAGTCACCCTCAGCATAACATCACTACAAATGAAACACATTAAGTGTCTGTTGTTGTGATTATTCAGCAAGAAGAACAGAGGCTGTCAGCCTTGATAATCACATGTTTTATAATAACTGAGACTATTCAGTCTTAACACTCTAACCCTGAAACAGGTTCACAGATGTGTCCTTACATGCTCTGCAAAACACTGTTAAAACAGTACAAATAGAACAAACTGTGCCAATATGAATCCTTGTGTGGGATCAGTTTAATGTTTTTATTACAGTAACTTTCAGAATATTTTGAGGTTTTCAAGGCCAGACTTCAGACGTGATTCTCACCATCACTGCAACAGAGCGATGAGTCTGGCTGAGCTTCCCATTGTGTTTAAAATGTTTCTTAATAATGAATAACTAGAAGAAAAACAATAGCTCTGTGCAGTCACTTACACAGTATCAATGCTGGATGTAGCTGCAATGACATCATCTACTGGTTTCTGAAGTCCTTTGTTGAAGTTAGAGTTGAAGGTTTGTCTTCATCAATCACATTGATCGTATTTGATGGGGTGCTGTTGGTGTCTGACTGTGAAAGCACACAGTCATTGGCTGACTCCGTGAACTCACCAGGGAAATGTTTCCAGAGGTCAAGACAGAAAAAGTTTGCCTTAGACTTCAAGAAGGCTGCAAGTGTTTTTGTACCCACAGCTATCGCCATCTGGTGGCCGTCAGAAAGCAGGTTTAAGACACTTTTGCATGTCTTCATT